AATAAGTTATTCATAAACTGATGAACATAATGAGTTATTAAGTTATTCATAAACTGATGAACACCATGAAGAGGATCTGAGGATAAACTGTTTTAGTTTTAAAAAACATATATTTTAGTGTTTGAAGTTTGTAAAGAAAACAGTATCATCTGCATAGAGACTGATATTTACTGACTGTTTCACTGTCTCTCTCTCCTCCTGTCTGTCTCTCTCAGGTTTCTATGACTTGAGTGACGGAGCATCTGTCTCTCTCTCCAACTCGTCAAACTCCGTCTTCAGTGAGTGTTTCTGTTCCATGAATGAAGCTGATGGACATCTTCTGTCTGCAGGTACACAAGTAGTACACAACTACTACACAAGTAGTACACAACTAATACACAACTAGTACACAACTAATACACCGTATATATGTAAATGTAATCTGGAAACACATTTTGAAAGACATTAAAAGCCTATTAACGAAACATTGACACTGAATTATATTGTTATGGTATTTCATCAGTTTTCCATCTGAGAGGATCACCGTTAGCTTGAGGCTACTAATGCTACGTTAGCTTGTTAGCCTCTCTTGGCCCGAGGAAGAAGGAGAATAAATTCTTCTGAACTGGATGTGATCCAAATAATCTCAGATCAGTGGTGAACACGAGAGTTAACGTTTCACAGCACTCCGTCTCCACAGGAAAGAATGTTCCACTAAACGGTTCATTACCACATTCAGCTCTGCTCAGAGTGAACTTCTTGTCAGCTGTTGACATTAGGAAACGCTGCAACACAAAGTAAACTCAGATCCATTTAGACTGTTTATGTTTGGATCTGGTTTACAGCAGCCCTGTTCACGTTCAGTCCTCCATCATCCAAAGACTAAAAACAACAGTGTCTGGTTTCATAAAGTCTTTTCTCTTTGTCCCTCCAGATGAGCTGGCCAGCTGTTTGGACTGTGACGGTTTGGTCGGAGGACTTTGTGACGAGTCGTCCTCTGGTCTGGTCCGTCGCTCGCTCTCAGCTCCTCACCCGGCCTCCCTGGACCCGGTCTCATCGGTGGACTCCCAGTCTAAGTACCACTGCGACCTGGTGGCCCGAAATGGCAGCGATGTGTATCGCTACCCGAGCCCGCTGCACGCCGTGGCCGTCCAGAGCCCCGTGTTCCTGCAGATGTTGGGTCACGGTGGTCCCGGTAGAGACGAAGGCCTTCTAAAAAGCGTTGAAGGACTCGAACCAGAATCCTCACCCCTTTCTGCTTCTGATGCAGCTCCTCTTATAGCTCCTCTTGTATCTCAGAGCTCCTCCTGGCCGGCCTCCTCTTCTTCCTCTCAGACTCCTTCCTATAAGCAACTGGACAGCTACATCTACAGTCTGCTGCAGCGGAGGGCCCTGCCCGTCAGGACCAGCAGACCCAGGACCAGTATCAGCGCCGACACGTCAAAGAGCATCCTGAGGCAGGCCAGTCTCTGTGTGAGGCAGTTCTCTGGGTCTGGTTTCGGGACTCTGAGGGGGTCTGAATTAAAACCCTCTGTACCGACCGGAGGAGTGTCGGCAGGGGGCGTCGCCACCTCGTCTCCTCAGAGGCAGCGGTCTGTGGACAGTAGATCTGAGGAGCAGGAGACCCAGAAGGTTTTCTCTGAATGCAGCGTTGACTCAATGCAAAATGTCTTCAAGATAAACATTGATCCAAGCAGCAACGGTCTGTTACAACAGAAAAGCAAAACACTTCTTCCTCCCTCACCAGCATCCACAGCTACTCTGCCTCAAGACTCCCCCAAAGAGACCAAGCAGCCATGTTACTCTCCAGACCTGCTCCTCAAATCACCACCGGCCATCAAAACAGCTACTCCCAATAACAGCCCGAATCCTCCACAAACTGTCCAGACAGAGAAAGTCGATAGGTCAGTGCCGGAGGTAGCCGGTCGAGGTTCCTCCTCCCAGAGTCAGGATGAAGGAGGAGGAGGAGGGAGTCACATGGTTAACACCAAGTGCATTACCGCTCAGCGGTACACCGTCAAACTCCGCAAGGGAGGCAGCAAGAATTTGAAGATGGTGAAGGTGAAGACCACCACGACGATGAGGACGAGTCGGGCCTCTGAACACAACGAGCCTTCGTCAGAGAGAAGAGGCGACAAATCCCACCACAGGCCCAGTTCTAAAAAGTCCCGGCTTTTGGACGACAAAAGCTTCGTCAACATCAATGTCTCCAAGAGAGCAGCCGGCGGCGTTCACGGCGCGTCCACCTCCAGGATCAAACGCCTTCCCGCGTCCATCCCAGAGGGCCGAGTTGTGGACAAACGAATCGCATCAACAGTAAGCAGTGTGCAGTCTGGTGCATCCAGGCACCATTACCATGGAAACCACCACCACCACGGACGCGACCAGGTCGTGGTCGTCGCCAAACCGAAGTACAAACGAAACGACTACCGGAGGTTGCGTGCAATCATGGAGGTACCGAACGACGAGGCATTCAGGCGCACTCAGCGGCGGCAGAGAAAGGAGCTGTTAAGCCCTTCAACAGCCAATGTGTTCCTCCCCCCCACCGAACAGGTGAGCAGCCCGTATTCCTACGTGGCAGGAAGTGACTCTGAGTATTCGGCCGAGTGCGCGTCTCTTTTTCACTCCACCATCGTCGACACCAGTGAGGACGAGCGGTCCAACTACACCACAAACCGCTTCGGAGACAGTGAGTCCGGTGAGGAGGAGGAGGAGTTCGTGGAGGAGAGCACCGCCACCAGTGACACGGAGGAGAGCGGAGGAGGCGGGGCCGGTGGTGGGACAGGTGGAATGGGCCGGGGGCGGAGCCAGTTAGGGGCAGCTGTCCAGGAAATGACTCCGGCTCAGGCGAAGGCCTTCGTTAAGATCAAGGCCTCCCACAACCTGAAGAAGAAGATCCTCCGGTTCAGGTCGGGTTCTCTCAAACTCATGACCACCGTGTGAGAACAAACTGGACCACAGCCATATCTGTTGAGGGGCCCTGAACCCGAACCCGGTACTCTTACAAAGTGGACAAAACTCTTTTCTACGCTGACACTTCAACCATCCCAACGAGATGACGCCCAACCAGTTATCCATCTTTGTAAAAAGCATGTGTGACATTTACTATCTCCTTCACATTCTGTCATACGCTGTAGTTTTTAGTCCGGAGGTAAAAGGTGGCGCCTTCAAACTCGGCCTTCCTTGTTCGCCAGTGGAGTCCATCAGAGCGACCCGGGATCAGGAGGAGGTCCGTCTCCTCCGTTGTGATGCCTACATACTGAGAAGGGAACGGGGAGGAAACTTGTGGAGAATTATTTTACAGTTACATAAACATCTTGAACTGCAAACACGTAATCTTATCGACTTCCTGTGCCTGAATTTACCTTCATGTGGATCATTTCGGCTTCTCAACATGGAAATTTGAGGAAGTTCAAGTGGTTTAACTCGGAGGAGGCCGGGCCACAACCCACCATCACTGGGCTGTTCATATTTTATGCCGTGTAGCCTGAACTCATAAGTTCCTGTTTTAGAGATTACATGAAAGAGGTTTTTGCTCACTTTTGAAAACACATTTTTAAGATTTTAGTGTCATAAACCAGTGGTTTTGGATCAAACTGTGTCTTTGTGCAAGTTTCTGGTTCTGAGAAGCAGCCAATCAAGAACCCCCCCACTGCCTGCATTCAGGATGCAGCATTTGGATTCAACCAATCAGATTGGCTCCCTTTACTTTACTCCCTCTTTCCCGCCTGACTGACCTGAGAGAAGAATCCAAAGTCTCAGTCCGCTTCAAACTGAATCGTTGTCTTTCTATCTGCCGTCACAGCCTCCTTGATACCGGGGTCATATCAAGCTGTAGAAACACTGACTTATGGGTAATCCAGCCAGACTTTGTGGCCTCGAGGTCATGAACCACACAAATGTGGAAAAAAGAGCCACACTGAGAGCCAACAAGCGTTTGGTTTTAAGCCTCCTGAGGTCTTTGGTGTTTCTCTGGTAGAAGAACTTCAGGGCATTCGTCAAACGTCTCTTTAGACGTGTCTTAATATCTCCAGAAGGTTCTTCAGATGTTCCTGCGTTGTGTTCAGGGTTGAGGTTGAATGTAAAGCTCTTTATTTGCGGACAGGACAGACGGTGTCCGTTGGTACCCTGTTGATCTCTGATTGGTTTAAAGCCTTCTTTTGTATTTATTGTCACCAACACGCCAAACGTCTGTAAATGTTTCTCTTTTTATGACACAGTCCTGTTTTACCTTGTTATGTTTTGATGAAAGCTATTTAAACCTAATATATTTGCTTGCTACTCATTGGATACCACACGATAACATTTATACACCAAGTCTGAAAGTGTTTCTTTACCACATGATCACCTGTTTATGCAGCATTTAGGTGTTTGGGTGAAAACCAGACTGTTGTTGTTTTTTTATCGTCACTGTTGATGATCATCCTACTTTCAGATCGGTGGACTGAACCAGTATCTCCTCAAGAGGAGACCATTTTAGATAATATTTCAAATCTGAATCAATATTGACATTTAGGGTTCATTTATAACTATAATTTTGTTAGTTAAAGGAACAGTTTTCTGTTTGTTCGCTCAAATGAGACTCATGAGAGTTTCAGATAGATATCAGTTTAATCTCTGTGTGTCCGGTAGAGAGTCCAGGATGTGTTAGCCTAGCTTAGCCCAAAGACTGGAAGCAGGAGGACACTGCTAACCAAAACAGCACAACCCCCATTAGCTTATAGCATTTGTTCTTTTAGCTGTTTATGCTTGATTTTATGGGATCTACAAATATTTAGCATTTAGCATAAGCAAACGCAACATCAGCTACCTACAAAAAGCTAGCATATCAACTGTTATGGTAACTGTTTCTAGCTAACTGGTGTTATACCAGGATGTTTTTAGCCTAGCTTAGCACAAAGACTGGAAACGGGGGGAGGGACCGTTAGCCTAGCTCCATCAAAATAGATAAAAAATCTACCTTCCAACAACTCAAAGTGTCTAGTTTACATGTTTGCTTATTAAACAGGTGTAGAAATGTAAATCTCAGTAGGAGACAGTTAGTATTGAAGCTATTTGTTAAAACTATTTGTTGATTTGTTTCATCTGAATATTTTAATGATCCATTCCCGATATATTCTAGTTTATAACACTACAATTTGATAATTGTCTCATTTATTTTGCGCTAAGCTAAACCCACAGAGATGAAGCTGAAATTCATCAAAGATTAGATTTCTCTAAATGTCAGAGTTTAGCATTTAAATTAGCAGCAGACTTCAGAGTCTTTGTTGTGCTTCTTTCTGTCTTTCTGTTCAGAACTATTTAAAGTTTCTGATGACTTTGAGATTTTCTCTGTAAAAACTTTATATTTCAAACTTTACAGCCAAAAACCTTCAAACCAAAAGTGAAACTTGAATGGTGGTGAGTTTTAGTCACACTGGTCCAACTTTCGTCCTGTAAATGATCATATATGCAACTAAACGACTGTTACTGATGTGTGTCGATACCGGTGCTGAACCATTCTATGCTTCATTAAATGACGTTTCTTGGTTCTTCTGTTTCAGTAACAAGCCGTCTCTCTGCTGCTCAGCCGATCACAAGATATTTACACCGTTTGTGTTAATCGGCTTCACTGTGACCTCGGAGAAATCTTTTCATCTGCATATTTCTGAGGGTCTGACCTCTGCTGATCAATTATTCACAGCAGCAGCGTGGCTCAACCAGTCAGAGAGGCTACAACTCTGCTAGCAGCATGCTAAATACAAGGTTTTCCACATTCACCATCTTAGTTTTGATTTGTTGATTTATTTCTTGTTGTGTCTGGTTGTCTCTGGTTGTGTTTCTTGTGTCTCTGGTTGTGTTTCTTGTTGTGCCTCTGGTTGTATCTCTGGTTGTGTCTCTGGTTGTGTTTCTGGTTGTGTCTCTGGTTGTGTTTCTTGTTGTGTCTCTGGTTGTGT